TTAAAAAACGATTGCGAGTATTCCACTAAATGTTAAATTAAATATTTAGATCGTTTAGATTAGAAAACAATTTAGTTCTTCTCTTTGTATCACAGAAAGGAAAAATGTCCTCTCTTCAATTTATTCAAACAAAACTGTTTCATAAATAAGTTTATTAGCACAGAATCTTTATTCTTGTTTTGCTTTTTTCACATCAAAATTAAACTACTATCACACATCGTCGGTACCATGTTAAAGTAACGAATGCGAAAAATAACATTTTTCAATTTCGTCCGTTTACTACAGTATGCTCACCTATGGCAAGATAGCGAATTTGAACAGCCGGAAGAAGGCCGGAATCAGTAAATTCATTTTTACGAATTTATAGATTTGTTAGATATGAATACATTTTAGTAAGAAATAGTCTTAATCGAGACTTTGTATTAGGCAAATTTACATTCATTACTTTAACATGGTGCCGACGATATAAGAAATAATAGTTTCATAATCAGCAAAATTGTAAAATATATAAAAACATAAGTTTAAAATTTTAAAGTTACTGATTAGGGTATGTAGTTGAAAGTTGATTAAATATTTAATTTATTATTTAGTTAAACGCAAATTTGATTTTTTTTTTTTTTTTTTTTTTTTTTGTAGTATAACAATCTGTCTCTTGGACATTGGTTATAGTGAGGTAGGAGATGACATTCACACTTTATGTACAAAAAAATAAAATAAATAGAACAAAATAATAATCAAAAGTATATACAATAGATAATAAAATAAGATAACCTAAAAAATAAGAAAATTAAAACTAAGAAAAAAAACACATGTATACCTATATACAATCAGGAGAGGGAACTCCAGCAGAACCCTGCGCTACTCTCCCAACCGCGTCACTGGTACTAAAGCCAGCGGAGATTGGTCGAGAGCACTTTAGCCACATACACTCATGTCTTGAGTGAAGAATCTGGCCATTGCCAGAAAATAATAATAAAGCTCTTTTCATTCGAACAAATTTTGTCAGTATCAAAATATATAGTTTCACTCAATTTTTAATACTTCCCCAAAATTGCAGCCACAGACAAATGGCTGGTCTGTCATGTGTAAATCAGCCATCCAATTGAATTGATAATACAACTACTCATCAGACCCAGATTTTTAATGAGAGGAATGGGGAGAATACCTTACAACTCATCAAGGGCCTTGTGTTCAATACGTTTTAAAGAATACTGTTTCTTAATTTGACATCACAATTGCTTGCAAAATTATAAAATATATAACTATATATAGATTAAAATTTAGAAGTTATACACTTCTGGTCAACAGTTGTTAGTACAAGGAAGACATCAGACAGAGACCATGCTCTTTAAGTTTCCTCCTTAATTTAATATTTGGTTAAGGATACCCACTTTATAGAGACTGGGTATGCCCCGGAAGGCAGTACTGACTCCGTAGCCATCAAGGGCTAGTTAATGTACCAGAATAAATTATTATCTGCCACAGCCCGAATCAAACCCGAGACCTCATGCATTGGAACACAGTGCCTTACTCACTCAGTTACCCTGTTCCCGATACATTTAAAAGGGGGTTCCCACATTGGCAGATAGTGGATTGCCAATTGAAATATTTCTTTTTTATATATTCAAAATTATAAAGCAATCGATTCTTAAATGATTCTTAGATTATTTAAGTTTTAAATACAAATAAATGAGTTTAAAGACCATTGAACAAAAACATTTAAATAATAAAGTTGATAAAAATAAACACTTCAATACTCTCTAAACAATATTAAAGAAAAGAAAACTAATTGAACTACCAATCAAATAAGTTTACAAAACAGAAATAATAATTAATATGTGTTCATATGCATGTATTTGTAATATTTTTTTATTTGTATAATGTATTAGTAATAATACATGATGGTAACTAATTATATGAAGATTTTTTTTTCTTTCTAAAAAACGAAAATTTTAACTAACTTAAAAAGTTGATATAACATAATACAGTCTGAACTACAGAATACATGTAACTTAAAATTGTACAATTTAAGCAACAAGTAATATAATTAAATGGACAGTTGTATAATTAGTAAAATGACGGTTAGTCTGCTGTCAAGCAGACAGGGGATATCCCATAGTTATTTAATAATATTATTATTCCTTTAATAATATAATAATAATAATGCATACATTGAGAGAAAAGTACTTCACAACATTCATGCTTGTAATACTCTTGTGGAAACACAAAAAAAAATCAGAGAATAATTTATAATAAGGCAAGAACACATATAATTTTCTTTTACTGCTCCTTCATATCTTTCGAAAGAAACTGGAGCTACTATTGATATACCAATTATTTACGTGTCATTGTAAATAATGAACGAAACCCAGACTTCATTAAACTTTATGTCTTTTAAAATAACAGAACTCCATTAAAAGGAGATATTACTATAGAAATAAATCAAATAATTCCTGATTGTAATCCTTTCTAATATCCAAGTAATTAATTTTATTAATATTATTTCAGAAGAATTTTGTCTTTGTGTCTTAAATGTGTTTCAGTTAGATATACTATGACTTATAAAAATGTAATGTAATTGTTAACTTAATCACTATTATAAGGAAAAACTATTACTTTAATTTAGAATGCAGACTCTGTTAAACATGCCATCACAGATATGATGACTGAATGAAATGACACTTTTAAAACAATACTATTTATATTTGCCAAAAACAATCTCATTATACATGGGAATTAGTTTATAAAGTATATTTCATAAAAAATATAAGAAATGTTCAGACATAAAACTATGCTTCAAAAAGGAAATCATCGTGAAGCTTTATATTGAAGACAAATATTATGACCAAACCTATGACCAAATTTCAAAAATTGAAAGCAAAATATTCTCACTCCTAATTTAGATGAATAGTAATGAGAAATGTTAAAGGAAGCCCTTATTTATTTTTCTTTCATAGTTGAGAGTAAAAGTTTAAATTCCCTACACAGTACTCCTAGGCCAGAAGTAGGATTTATGGCAGGAGGGGCAATCTTAATTTTGCCACCCCTTCTTTCATCTTTGGCTGCCCCCACAATAAAAGTATTTTAGATAATATATTTCAAAATAAATAAGATAATAGAATAAAATTAACTTGTGAAAAAAAGGATTAATATTTTCTACTTAAACTAAATACAAAATTCTCCGCTCTCTGACCCTACAGGACAATTTCCCCTTTCTATTTTTGAGTCTGCAATGCTCAATACTTATCTGATGATACAACCACAGAAAGTTGATTTTTTTTTTTTTTTATTCAAGAAATTTACGACTTATACAAATAAATATACACCAAGTAATTGTTATACAGAGAAATACAATGGCATGAAAAGACTTGTAGAGAGTCCACCCTTTGGTAGCACTCTAATAATTTAAATTTATAATATCAAATTTGAATATCAAACTTAAATCCCCTCTCAACTTGTAATATAAATTGCGAAATTGTAATATTGCATTTTCTTTTGCTGAGAAATCTGAATTATCTAAAATCACATAACCAAGAAAAAGATTACTAAAAAATATCTTATAAATTACAATTTAATGAAGCATCTTATACATATACTGATGGGAGTGGGGAAGCTTAGCAGAAGGGCGCTGAAACTTCCAGTGCACAAAGCTGCAGGTTCAAATCCCAGCTGATGGCAAGACAAGTTATTATTCTTTGGCTGTGGATCGACCCTGGGATCGGCAGACCATTCTGTGGCACACCCAGCCTCCATAAAGTAAGTACCCTTAATTTATAAATAATTAATTACGGGAGAAAATCTGGCGGTTAAGCATGATCCCGGTCGTCACCTCTTTGTCCACCGTTGACCAAGAAACAGTACTTCCTTACAAAATACCGAACCCAAGACCCTTCATGGGTTGTAGTCATAGAGGTTTATACAAATAATGACAATATAAATTCCAAAGACATCATAACTGAATATTTTGTGAAAAGTGATAATGCAAAAATATTGTTAGGATCTCAAGAGCACTTTAAAAATTCCTAAAACAATTTAGTCTAACAAATATTTACTTTTCTAAGAAACAAAATACAAAAAATATGAGGAAAAGGCCTCTTGAACCAAAACTTGTAAAATTGTTTCATATAAAACTACTTCTTAAACTTTATGATGTAAAATACAAACTGCTGAAGATACATTAGGTATCAGTAATTACATCAGAGTATTAAATACTTTCAAACAAAAGTTAAGGATATATTTTTATATCTAACATAAAATAATCACATAAATTTATTACTTTCGGCACATTATCCTGGAAAAATCAAATACAATGGAGCATTTAAGTATTCCTCATGCATATTTAAAAATGGAAATAAGTCTTAAAGAGATAATTAATAATTAAAATACATGACTAACAAAGAAGTCTAGCTGCATTTTTTCTGTACAAATTTTCATTAATATTTACATTACATTCTCGATTAACATAGCTTGGATTATAATTATATAAAATCTAATTACTAGGCATTTTAATCTATAATTTAAAGTGTAATAATTAAGAAATAAACTGAAAAAATTAAAAACTAAAATTGGTGGTGGATAAGAATGAATTAGCCTGACATACTATTTATAACCTCCAGGATATGGTAGCAAAAATCAAATGAATTCTGACAATTACTGTTAGGCGGTATAAATATATATGACAATTCATATTGGTTTAATATGTGTTATAAGACTTATAGAAATATTATAGCAACATATATGTTAAAATATTCCAATACTATTTACAAAAGTAGATTAGAACAAACGCGAGAAAAGTAGTTCAAAATCAAATATATCAAGATTTCAATAAATATAAACTAATAAGATGTAACTGATTAAGTCAAAATATTACGCAAAAAGTACTTCTAAAAAGTGAAAATGGATCTGGTAGGCGTGGTTAAACACGGCCGGTATCTGAAAGGTATCTTATCAATACAACCGCCTGCTTACTAAAAACAATGATGAGAAAAAATATTGCTTACCTCGATCATGATATTCCAAACTGTCGAAGTTGGTAAGAATTGTCAAATGAGCAAAAAGTAAAAAGCATTTATCACCGAGACTCGGCGGAGAAAACCATTCTCGGCTCACCCATGGCGGACTATTGGAATAAGCACTGGGGGTGATAGAGCTACTACAATAAGCCCGCCCTTAGGCCGTTTCAACGATACTGGATAGCAAAGGGAGTCAACCACCTCTACAAAAACCCTTATATATTTACGCATTTTTAAATAATAAATTATGGTTATACTAATAATAATAACTATGGTTTTCAATAATATATTTTAAATAAATTATCGCAAACTAATAAAAAATAATTAATAAACCAATAAAGACACTTAATTTATTCAGCATCTATTTTATTTTATTTTAAACTAGGGCCAATCATTTAGAGATAGAAGATAATTAATAATACAGTGGTTGTTTAAATGAATAAATATTTTTAGAAATTACTATGCTCATTGATGGCATAGGTAATGAGTATATTTATTATTTATTTTCTTACCAAATTAATTTTGAAGGTGTAAATAATTTTGGTCACAAAGTGGAATCAATTGTTTATAAAAAAAAAAAAAAACGTTCAGTCAGATTTTAAAATGACCAAAGGAATTTTGTACTATAATTAAAAAAAAGTACACACACAAACACACACACACACACACACATATATATATATATATATATATATATATATATATATATATATATATATATATATATAGAGAGAGAGAGAGAGAGAGAGAGAGAAGTTGAAATCTTCACAATAAACTTAAATGCCTATGGATAATAAAGAATTTAAAAAAATAATTATAAAGGCAGCAAATTAAAAAAAAATCTCTTAGAGAGTAAGCAAGAAAATTTATAAGAAAATTTACAGGTGTTCAAGTTTTACCCATTCCATTTTCTTAAACAAAAAATAAGCATCATTATTTCCAAAGTATTTTAGTTTACTCCCAGTTTACATCTTAGACATGCTCTCTTTGAATGCAATATAATATTTATACATATAGTATAAATTTTACTACTTCTTATTTTTTCACACAATACCCATTGTTGATTAGATCAGGTTATTGGGGAATAATAGCTATGTAATTACAGATAAAAATAAAAATGTAGATATTTTATAATGTATCAAATAGATGAAATGCGTTAAAATTAATGATGGAGATGTTATTGACTTTTAATATAAACAATATTTTAAAAGATATGGTAAAAAGTTATAAAAGCTTCCATAGATTTATTCTCAAATTTATTAAATGTTTTATGATTCAAGTCAAGTACCCATTATCAAAAACAATTAAAACCTTATAGTTTTCTTTATTATATATAATCATCATCATAATCTAATCCTCTTTACCATTTATGCAGTTTGAGGCACATATATATGTCTCAAGATGAAAATATTAGAAATAATAGGTTCAAGTTATTGTTGGGCTTATATGAAGCTGGACAAGTTGAATATATATTATAGTTACAAATTAGCAATAATTATAATTATAATTATAAAGAATAATTGTAATTATATAATTATACATATATTGGTAATAAGGCATGATGTATAATATAGATTTTTAAAGAAATTTAAACATTTGTCCGAACTGTATGTTTTGTTCTATTTATTTTGTTGATAAAAAATAATACAATCTGAACTATAATTGAGCAACATGTAGTACAAATAAATTAACAGTTGTAGAATTTGTAAAATGAGGGTTGGTCTACCGTAAGGCAGACAAGGGATAATCCCCAAGTATAAATATATATATTAACTTATTTCCTTCATGTTTATAGTTTCCTTCCATGGCTACTTTTTTTTTGTATCACTAAGACTTTCTTTCCGTTACATACTATAATATTAAAAGGTATTGTTAATACAAAGAAATATGCAATTGTTAAAATGTAAGTTAGGGTGTCATAAAGCCAGGCTACACATGGAACACTTAGTAAGATTAATTATAATTCTAAAATGTGATACAAACTTAACAAAGATGGAACTTTAAAGCAATATAATTTACCCTGTGTTTGTTTCTTTTCTGACTTAATCTTTAACCATCTTTTCTTTGATTAAATTTAAAATTAAATAGAAATCATAAGACTAAAGTAGTTGAAAATTTTTAAAAATGATTTAAATGGTAATGAAAATAATGGATTTATCAAATTATATTTTATGGTAGAATACAGGATGAAACACTTATAATTCTTACAGAATAATTAATGAAAAAATCATAACTGAGTTAAGTATTTTTTTATTTTCATGTTAACTCTATGGAAAGACTGTTATTTCATTAACATGTGAATTAAAAACATAAACATATTACATACAGGTATAATAAAAAGTCAAAAAATTATAAAGTTTAAAAAAAATTTATTTTTTTAAACTTTATAATTTTTTTACTCTTTAGTATACCTGTACATATGTTTATGTTTTTAATTTTTAATTTCTAGGTGGGAATTAAATATTAATGGATTAAATTTTAGGAATCCAAAAAAAAGTTAACATTTTACAAAGCAATATATGTTAAGAAACATCAATGAAAAACAATGAATATGTTGCTGAAAGACAAAATATATTTATTCATTTTCACATAAAGCAATATTTTAATAAATCGATATAAATGAAACAGAATAGATATACATAATAATTCCATTTAATACCGACAATGAATAATTAATAGATAACATCAGTTTTCATAAAATCAATAACATATTAGAAACAAAATAGATTAACATACATAGCAATAACTCATAATATATGTACTGAAAGCATAGCTCCTAAAAACTTTATTTTATTTATGCAGCATATATTATAGTCATAAACATAATAGCAATAAGGCAAGAATAGCATAAATATTCAATATTAATAAACAATAACAAGTTATTAATATAGAGTGTATTTGTATAGGGTTCTTCCCTTAAAACAAATAAAGATTGAATTAAAGTTATAAATATAAGCAATCAATGCCAATAATAAAGCAGTTAATAGAATCACTAAAAAAATATTCAACTAAATTATCTTTAACAGTGTGTAAGCAATTATTAAACTGAGAAAGAAATGATAAGGAATGAATAATGATTCAATTTTTTTTACCATAGTTCTTGAATATAAAATGCAATGATATAATAAAACATTATTAAATGTCTAAGAAATCTATTTTAAACTGTCATTAAAGGTAAAAATAAATAAAATCATAAACCATTATTAGACAGCTTCACAGTGGAGAGAATGATATAAAAATCAGCTTTGAGATAACCCCAAAAATATTATTATTTTATAAAATATAAAAACCAATTATTTGAAAGATAGTGCAGTGAAACCAACTCTCCATTTTCCCTGAAACTTTTCTAAATATAAAATTCTCAGGGAAAAGTAACTATAACTTAATCATTATTTAATCTATGTTAATTAAATAGCATAATAATTATTCACACAGTGGCCATTTAATAAACATTATTCATAGTAGTTTGAAATCAATTCATACAATCCATTCCATATAGTTTAAAACAAAAATATATCCTTTCCTAAACTCGCTTCAATTGAATAAAATAATCACAGAATTTCTTTAACACTTAAGATACAAACTAGCTAAGGTTTTTTTTTTCAAATTGTAGAATAATTAATTATTAATATTTAAACTTAATAATAAAACTATTCCACAGGTTTTTCATTGATTTTCTGAACGTTCAGGGAATCAATCAGAACTATAATATTAAAAAAGCCAACTACATATATAATCTAAAAAGTAAAATAATTAAACTAAATATTCCTGTATTATATAGATGTAAGCTATCAATAAATTACAAGTGGAATGATATTATAGTTAGTTATAGACAAAAATAATTGGAATGGAAACAAAAATTAGATAATCTTGTGATAAAAATGGTAACTAATTTTTATTGAAATTTTCTCAAAATAAGTGTCAATAAAAGTAATTTGAAAATTTTTGGACAATAAGGAGCAATTATTTAAGAAATAAAAAGTTGAAATATTATAGATTAATTGATTAATTTCAAAAAACCACAATGTAGATTCTATATTTATTTTTATTTCTCCCTCACTACCGGAGGTAGGGAAGCTTTTTATTTTTTATTTATGAATGGCTAGTAAACTAATAAACAAGAGATAATTTACAGCACAACCGCTTGATTTTTTTAATCAATTAAGCCAGTAAGTTTTATCTAAATTCTGGTAACAACAAGCCATAAGCAAAATAAATCACAACAATCACTTATTTAATTTATAAAGGAACTAATAAAATAACAAATTAAAATTAACTGAAACATTATTTGTGCCATTATTGTAAATATTTAAGTTAACCATAGACAATAATAAGTTTGGGCAAGATAATATCACATAATAAGTAAATCTTATATTTATGGCTAAATTTAGTAAGACATTTTCCATTATCTGTAATATTTTTGTGTGTATAACTGCAACGAAAATAAGTAGTTAATCTTTTTAATCATAAGAATAACTACATTAATAAGCATCATATATTGTTAATTTGCAAAAATATATCACATTAAAAATAGTATTAAATCTTCACAATAACTATAAATTTAATAAAACATTTACTATATTTAATGGATATATTAAACAATCAATTTCAACAGAATTACACAAATAATATGCAAGCTCACCAGCTGGTACAGCTGAAATCTGATGTACCTGGTCAGAATAGTGAAAACTTTATTTAAATTGAATTATTCCGTATTTTAATTTTACTGCACTATAATACAAAAATAAACAACAATAAATTACAAGGAAGTTAATAAAATATTGGCAAAATTTTTAGGATATTAAATATTCTCTACTAATAATAAAAAATATATATACTTTTGTCAAAAATATTAAAATAAATAAATAAAGGCTGTAAAAAGCATCACAACCTTGATTACACTGTTGGCATCTTTAAATATCATCATATCATTCTAAAGTATACATTAACCGATTAATAAACTGGTCAGCCAGAGAAAGGTTACAAAAATTTTAAATTTATAAGCATACATATGTTATATGCAGCATATTAACTTATAAATTCACTTAAACAATTATCTCAGACATAATTCTTCCTCATCACAAAACAATAGGCAAAATGTTTGATTTAGGAACATAACCTAGTGCAGAACTACTGACCAATGAAAAAGCATTTTAAAATCAGTTTTCTAAAATATTACTAATAATCAACATAAAAGACGATAAATATAGAAACAAATAACTAAAATATCCATAGAGTTACAAGGAGATTCTACATAAATGCATGGCTCCCACCCATAATGGGAGCCTTCCTTAGCCCAATTTTCCCTTAAAGCACAACACATCTATCTATTCCACATCTATCTATGAAAAAAGTCTACGACAGATCTTTATTCCAGACGATTAATACACAAATAAAACAGGAACATTAATTCATACAATACAGTTGTACTTTAAAATTTAGCTCACTAATAAAAAAATTTAGAATTCCATATGAACACATTGGTACATTTTATTATTCTTCCAATTTAATTCATAATTTCATTTTAATGATAAAATATTCTATTAAATATAATATATAATCTGATAATTTTATAAAAATAATTTCATTTAGATATAATTAAATATTGCAGATCTTGATTACTCCACATCAGTTAAGAACAGAGCACCTAAAACATTGTCAAAAAAACTTTTTATAAACAGTAATTAAATGAAGAAATAATTAATGGTCTATATAGTTAAAAATAAGTTACATTTATAAAAAGAAAAATATCTCTCAAGACTTAACAATAAATAAAAAAAACCTTCTCGATCTTCTGTCCCTCAAATCTCCTTTATTTTGTAATTTTGAATCACATGTGTTTCGGTCATTGGCTATCTTCAGCATTAAAATTACAAAATAAAGGATTTGTGGGACATAAGATCGATAAGGCTTTTTTATTTATTAACGTACTTATTAGTGTCACTTCCATTCTATTTTTAACAATAGTGGATACTATATATATGGTGGGCCGGTAGAATTTATTGAGGTAGCCTGTTATTATTTATAATGTACATATTTTATTTTTATAAAGCAGTTCATGATTTATTATATTTTGTAGGAAATGTGATATAGCCAAAGGAGCTTGTAAAAGAGCTGATTGTGGGACATCAAATGTAAGGAATTTAAAAAATAAGAAAGAGGAATTTGAAAAATGATGTATTATTAAAAATGCCTTCACACTACAACATGAATATGGATAAATAAAAAAAAAAAAAAAAAAATATTAGATGCTAGAGAACTCAATAAAGCCAAGAAAATTACAATTTCCAAAGGATGGTTTGGCAGCATGAGCATTGTAGCTGAGTCAAGTTTGGAAGTGCTACACTGTGGAAAATATGTTTCCAGATACAAGTTTCTGAACATATATTAAGAAACAGAGATATTCCTCACATACCAAAGGAGAAGAAACATTGTAACCAATAAAATGTGTCCGATTTGACTTATAAAGTAACCTATAAAGATAAAGTCTTTATAAAGTGACTTATAAAGACCAGGACTCCTGGCCCTCAACAAATGTCGAATAGACCAAAACTTTTTTTTTTTCATGTGACCCTAAGAAGTGATGACCAACAATTATAATACCATCGTATTTTATTTAATTCACTAATATTTATATCTCTGCAGATGACAAGTAATGTCAGGAACTAGATCGGTCAGACCAACACAACAACCCTCTTACTTTCTCTGTAGGTCAGAGTGGTCCCTTTGGACTGCCAATTAAATTAGCAATAAAATAATGTCTTTCTATCCCCAAATGATGCATTCTTACTTTTGGAAAGCTAAGATGTATAAATATTAAGAGAAAAACAATGTTAGGCCATTTACAAAAAAATTAGTTTTATTTTATTTTTTTTTTTTAAGTGGTCCTATGTTGGTTTACGTTTTAAGGCAAGCGCCCATTTCATGTTATTTTTTTAATGAATATTAGCCTGTTAACCTTCATATATTTTTTCTAATAAAAGTTTCTTTTCATAAAAAGCTTTTTAAAAATATTTAACTTAAAAGTCTCCTCCAATTAAGATATTTACGGTTTGGCATGCCAAATGGAACAGCTGCAATTAGCAGGAGACAGGATTCAAAATTGTGACTATGACAATATCAGTTACCAAACCTAAACCACTGGGTCTGCACATTGACCTCTTTTTTTTATACTTAAAATATGTAAAATACAACATCATAACTCAAAAAACCTTGTGATTAACAAATTGCAACTGAGAATTTAAAATTATTATAATTCGGACATTAAAATATGGTATAAACTTAAAATAACTTTTTGTCGAGTAATTTTTTTTTTAAATCATAGTTTGCCAGAATGTATAATCCATTGGTTTAATTTGTAGTAAAAGCTTCCTCAATTCTTAAACCCCAAGTAAGTAATATAATAAATACACATTTTTTATATTCTACAAATTTAATATGATATTGATAAATCTTGTATTATTAAAAATGACTCCACAAACGTTCTATCAAATCTATCAAACTTAGTACAATAGTTCTAGAGAAAAGTTAATCAGTTTTCTGTTATCAAAAGCATGAATCTCATATTTTTTAATGAATTTATTTTATCAAGTTTAGTTAATACTGAAAAATCATTTTAATTCAGGTTTAAGGGAAAGAATAAGCTTACAAACTAAAAAAACAGTAAAACATTTATCATTTTTAAATATTTTGGAAGGAGTAATAAAAAACAAAACAAAAATGGATACCATTTAACTTCATACCAAATAGGTATGCAGAAGTGCAAACTTCAATTAAGATCTATTTTAACCCACTATATCCTTATTCTTATATCACATCTTGAATTCTGAATGCCTATTTCTCTGCCTCTTAATATACTTTTTCCTAATTCTTTATACTATTCAAAACATTAAACAAGCCACTACAGGCTCCTAAAATTTAATTGAACAAGCTTTAGTGGTTCATCAGAACGATGTTGTGTTCCTCGGATGGGAAGAGAACATTTTTAATTAATACACTTTTTTACTATTCAGAAGAACTGAAAACTTTAAATAATATCTTGAAAAACATTATTGTTTTGAATATTACATACATTTCCCCCAATTCAGAGACTTCCAAAAAAAACTTGTTTAGTTAGAATTTCTACCTTCTTTCAAATCATAAAACTTTTAAAACGAAAGGGCCATTATATGCAAATAAATAGAATTTAATGATACTTATCCAATACCTTAGATATTGGAATTATAGTCACAAACAAGCTATTTTTACTTTAAAAGGATTATAATATGTGCATTACAACGGTATAAATAATTCACTTAATATCTTTATATTGACACCCACACTGAAAAAGGCTGTAGGTAAGTATAATTTTATTCGAAAATGCCGTTTTGAGCTTGTCTGGTCAGTTTTGGCCACGTGCATAGTCAGAAATAATAAAACATTACATTATTATCTTAAGCATGTATTACAAATTGATCAGAGAATCTAGTTCATAAAATAGAATAAGAGATAGTCTTCATCTTCTGGAGATTTTTAATTTACGCAAGCACGTAAATAAGCATTGGCCTTTGCAGTACCCCAGCCTAATATAATTCACTTCACTCTCACAGAACTAGATTACAATAGACACAGAACATAGCTGACACCTATAAAATGTGGATGCTGATATATTAATTAATATAATGGCATATTTAATGTCGGGTATTCACATTTATAGAAATGGCTGAAACCTAATTAAATAATTTAAGCTGAAATCTATAAAAAACCTAATTCTTTAATAAAATAGGGATGGTAATAAAAAAAGCATATTAACTTCTTTTAGATTTATTTCAAGAAAGACATTTACATAATTATTTTATAAGCAATAACTAATTGCACAAATATATCTAATACAATAAATTATACAAACTCATAGCTCATCTTTAAAATAGTAACCAACCACCAAATTCAGTGCTCAACAATATTGCACCCCGATTAACACTTTCAATAAAATTATTGTATAAAAGAGAAAATTGCCTATATGCAAATATTATAATTAATTTATAAGTGGACGAAGTCAGTTAAGTCAATGAGTGTTTTTAGGAACTGAAGTGCAAATGATACCATTTTAAAAACATAGGGACTTGAAAAAAAACTCAGATTAATATTATCCCTTTGGAAGTATAATCTATTTTATTAAAATCGAAATGAACTGTGTTACTTCAGTCATTATTTTAAAATAATTGAACAATAAATAAATAAATACAATGTAAAGAAAATTGCAAAGCTATTTTTAACAGAGAAAATACACAATGAAGATGTTACCCAGAATAGACTGGATTGCTGACTACATTATCTCAAAAGTGATAGGTTATCTATATGTTTTAATAAGGCGCAATTAAGTAAACAGTAACTTTTTAGTTTATTACCAAACATGCCTAAAATGCTCTATTTCATAAATCAAGTAATTATTAATTCAATATTAAACAAATTATGAATAAACTATATTATATATTAAATAAAATAATCAATAGCTCATTAAAATTCACTACACTTGTAATTGAAGAGTACTTAAATTATTTGAAAAAATTTAACAATAAAACAATTAAAAATCATTAATATCTGAACTGACAATTAGTTCATTTAAACTAACATCAATCAAAACTTATACCACATAAGTTTTGGGAAGATAACAGAACAACAATCAGACCTAAGCAATTATTTACTTCTTCTAGTCAAAACCAACCAAATTCCATTTCATTTTGCCCTAAAGCAGGACTGCTAAACAAAAGAAACTTACAAATACAAAAAAAAAAAAAAGTATGATTTAACATGTTTCAAAAGATATAAGATTTTCACAATAGTAAAAAAGAATTGATGTACTTAGATAATCTAATCTTTGCATAGATCTTCACAACCCTAATTTCAATATTTTATAACAAACCTCAATATCAATATTCAATATCAAAGAACTGATGCAATAATCTTCAAGACAAACTTTGTTCTTGTCGTGAACTTCTATTGTGAAAATCCACAGGTGCCATGCATTTATGTTCAAAGGCAGAAACACTGCTCAATACATTACAAACTTTTTTTATTATTATTAGTATTAGCACTTCAGAAAAAAAAAAAATGGAATTTTTGGTATCAGCCAAACCTCCGTATTCATCGAATAATAGAAATATTGCAATTTTTCATCTTGGTCAAACTAAAAACAATTACAATTATTTTTTAGAGTTTCAATATCACTTCATCAGTTTCATCAAACTTTAAGGATTTAACCATCTTCAATCTCTTCCAAAACATTCAAATACTTTAATAACAGAATCATCGCTTTAGTTAATTTTTGATAATCTACTTTAATTGTTAATACATAGTTTTGTTATCAAATCTTTATATTTCATTCCACTTTCACCTTCTTTTATTTAAGTTCAACTTTTCTTTCACACAAATTTGGTTTCGGGCCATGATCACTGCATGGAAAACAAATTTAAAATGAAAATTTCATTGTGTGGTTATGATGTGGTTACTGCAGTTGGTTATTCCTCCTTAAACAAGGTCTTCTATGAATTTTTGTTGCTTTGTGAAACATGGTCTCCTCTCTTATTTATTATCCAATCTTACATTAACAAATAGCCATTGTTTGTAATGATTATTACATCTTATATGTTTTAGCTATGACTGTGTTTG